ATCACTCCTAGCTTATGCCTCAGCTTTAGGAATTGTTTGGTTGACAACGCCTTTGTCAGAATATCGGCAGCCATCTCTGTTGTGGCACAATAGGTTATCTTGAGATGACCAAGTTCTACCAGATCTCTCGTAAATAGAAGCCGTTTTTCGATGTGCTTGTTTGCTTCGTGGTGTTCTGGGTTTCTGACGATGCTGATGGCAGCATTGCTGTCGCACCAGACTTGCACCGGACCCTTTTGTGGAAATCCCATTTCTCCTAGAAGATGCCATAGCCACTCGCTCTCCTTGGCATCTTCGCTTAGTGCGATGAGTTCTGCCTCAGCAGTAGAGAGAGAAACACCTACTTGCTTGCTACTACACCACGACACGCAGGTTCCAGTCATTTTGATCACATAGCCGGTGACTGATTTGCGTTCTTTTGGCTGACACGCGAAGCTCGCGTGTGTGTACACTTCATAAGTCACGTCACTCTCTTTTCCATCGAGTAGTAGACCGTACGTCGACGTCCCTTTCAAGTATTTGAGGACTCGTCTAGCCGCTTCCCAGTGTGTACGATTGTAGCACGATAGGAACTTGCTTAATTCTCTCACCGCGTTGGCAATGTCAGGTCGTGTTCCACGAACCAGGTATTGGAGTGATCCAACTATGCCTCTGTAGTCGAAAGGCTGCGCTGCTATTTGCTTAGCATTCATCTTCGTCTCAGCTTCTAGCGTCAGCCCTGGTACTTGTGGGGTTAGTACAGGTGAGCTGTTCACCATGTTGTACTTAGCTATCAGCTCAGCGATATACTTGCGTTGTGAGATCATCATCACTCGCTGCTTTCTGTTGCGTCGCACTTCCATCTTGAGGATGTAGTGAATGTCTCCCAGATCTTTCATTTTGAACCGTTTTGACAGCTCGACTTTCAGTCGGTTGATGAGCCCCATGTCACGAAACGTAATAGTGAGGTCATCGACATATACCACGACAATAAGCCATTCATCTCCCACTTTTTGCACGTAGATACAAATCTCTTTGTGGCAACGAGCAAACCCCATCGATGTCAAGAAGGTATGAAGAACTCTATACCAGAAGCGAGGGGCCTGCTTTAGCCCATAGATGCTCTTTAGAAGTTCACAGACCAGCTGCTCTTGGCCTCGCTTCGCAAACCCTTGAGGTTGTCTCATGTAGATTTTCTGTTCTCCTTCCATGGTACCGTTAGGAACGCAGTGTGGACATCCATTTGATGGATATGACAGTCCAGTATAGTCCCAATGGCCAACACCAAGCGTAGGGACATAAACCTTGCTACCGGTGCATATACCTCGTCACAGTCAACTCCAAATTCTTGGTAGTTACCTTGAGCAACGAGTCGTGCTTTGAATCGCTCGATAGTACCGTCAGCGTTGTATTTCACCACGAGCACCCAGTGACATGGTAGAGCCTTTCGGCCAGGCGGTAGTGGTACCAATCTCCAGGTTCCGTTCTCAATGAGAGAGTCGTACTCTAACTCTAGGGCCTGTTTCCATTGCTCCCTATGGGGTCCACGCAGAGCTTCTCTGATAGTTTTTGGTATGGAAACTTTGTTTTCTAGGATCTCTTCCGCGTTAGCTTTGTCCAGGATTGCCTGGAAGCACTGATAGTCCTGGAACCGTTTTGGTCGTTTGGTCTCTCGACGGGGTCGCGCTACAGGCTGTGACGCTTCCACTAACCCTGCGCTCCGTTTTCTTTTGGATACTCCCACTGCTTCAGCGGGCTCAATTGGAGGCACAGTAGGAGGTGCAACTCCCACTGCTTCAGCAGTCTCCTGCTCAGAAGCAGTCTGCTGTTCTCGCATTCCTCCGGGTATCTCTCGCAGAGCAAATTGAGTTGTGACCTCCGGGTTGGACTGGTCAAAGGCTCGATTGACAATGTTTGCTACATTGGTTGTGTCAAACAGCACATCTCGAGCAACGATGTGTTTGTTGTTATATACATCCCATAGTCTGTAGCCCTTAGCTTCTTCTGAGACACCCAGGAACCGGCACTTAAGCGCTCTAGCAGACAGTTTCTTGTCTTTGCGAAGTGCAGTCGGTATGTGGACAAAGCAGATACTACCCCACACAGGTAAGCCACTAATGTTGGGTGGTTTCCCGTGCACCATCTCGTATGGATTCTTTCCACCCAACCGACTCATTGGGGTACGGTTTTGAGCATAGGTCATATAGATCAAGGCTTCTGGCCACCATCTATGCTCCATGTCAGCATCTTTGAGCGCACAGCGAACTCTGTCTAGTTTGCTTTGGTGATCCCGCTCTGCCGCCCCGTTTTCTTCTGGGCTGTATGTATTTGATGTCTGAAAGATGATGCCCTTTTCCTTGCAGAAGTCTTTGAACGCTGAGTTCACGAACTCGGTTCTACCATCGGATCGAATCCTCCTGATTGTGAACTTTCCTTCACGTTCAAGTTGCAGCAGGAGCTCTCGGACATTCTCGAACACTTCTTTCTTGTTCCCCAGAACGTATGTCCAACGCCATGACGTGTTGTCATCAATGATGCTCAAGAAGTGCCCACGGTTCCAAAGACTCCCATTGTCTTCATCGGACCATTTGTGTCCATGTGTATCGTGCTGATCGGCTTTGCATCTCTTGAGCCCTTTGCGATACGACATCCGTTTCTTCTTCATTTCCGTACATGTTGTACAGAAGAATAACACTTGCCTTAGATCAGATGCCTTTAGTGTGGGCATACCGGCTACCACTGGTTTGGTCAACATTGTGATCACCTGCTCTTTGTTCAAGTGTCCCAACTTTACGTGCCATTCCTTTAGTGCAGCCTCTACTTTGCCCACTCCTGGCAGTGCCAATGGCTTGCATGGTTGCGTTTTCACCGCATGGCAGAACGCTTGTCGTTCTTTTACTGTTTTGGATTGTATATAATACGCCCCGTTAATTGCCTTGGCCACAAAAACCAATTGGTTCTTATAGAGGACAAATTTAAAGTCGCCACTGGCTGACCCTATAATCTGATACCCTCCCCTTTGTAGCCAGTATTCGCTAAGAATATTCGACTTAGCATGCGGTACAAGCGCAATGTTTGTAAACTGAAACGGTCGGATACCTCCCGGACCATGCAAATAAAGTTTCACAGTGCCAATGTGTGTATTTGTATGCTTAGACCCTTCTGCAAATGTAAACATGTAACCGTTGTCGGGTCTCTTCTCCACGAACCGGGACTCCTCACTGGTTGACCCGAACTCGCATCCTGAATCGAGTACCCAAAAGTCATTGGTCAGAAATGTTTCACTGTCAAGCAGAAAAGGATACATGGATCTTACCGCTTGTTCCAAGTCAACTGCCATCTTGTTGACACCTGCCGTCATGTCGGCGATCTGCCCATCACCGGCTGGTGCTTCCGTGACTTGTCCCGCGTTGACAGGCGTGTCGAAGAACGACATGGACTCGTCCGTGTCCATTGGCTCGATGCCGTGCATATCTTCGTAGCCGGGTGTCAACATTGACGTTGGCGGGCTGACAGGCGGTGAAGTTTGTGGAGCGGCTGGCTGCACCGTCTCGCACGCATTCACCGGTTTCGGTAGACAGTCCTCAACCGGGACCTGCTTGCGGGCTGGTTTCTTGATCTTGGCAGCCGACTTGCTCTTTCCTTGCGGCTTCGACCAGCAAGTGCCCACTTGTTTGCCGCGGCTCCAGATGTCCCTACGCTTGACGCCCAGGCTCAAGTCGTACTTCATTTTAGGGCAGGCAGCAATCAGATGAGGACCGACATCATTCATGTCGTTGAACTCCCCAGCACAGTAGTGGCACGATTTATGCCCCACGTTGTAGTGCAGATCGTTGATGGGCTCGGGTGCGGCCTTTCGCTTGCCCAGTGCACTTGGCTTAGGTTTGGCTGTCCCGGCTTACACGTGGTTCACCGCAATGCCCTTGCCCAGCGCCATAATTTGCGCCTTGCTCTTGGTACCGAAGATAGCGACCAGTTTTTGCTCCACCTTCTCAACCGTGAAGTCTCCTGATTGAAATTCAATTCCGAAGCCCCACAGATGACCAGGCAGAATAGCCAGGACTTTGATGAGCATGAGATGGGACGATATGATCTTTTCACCCAGTGCCTCGATGCTGTTCCTGTTCGCTTGCTCGCGAGCAGCCTTGAGCTGCTGAAACAGATGCGAAATATTCTTGAAGTCCGAGTTGGCCACTCTCTCGAAATTCTGCACCAGCTCTACCACGCCGGACGCAGTGTTGAGACCATAACGTTTCCCAACGGCTTTCCAGATCACATAGACCGGCATACGCATGAGCCGTTCGTCAGCGAAGTTTCTTGGCAGCGTCTAGTTCAGAAGATCCTTGATGTGGGATTTCTGTCCCCTGAGCAGCGCCTCTTGCAGCTCGTGGGCCTGCACGCGGTCCGCCGTACGCTCTCCTTCGAGAGGCGGGATTGACGGCTGGGATTTGAGCAAATCCTCATAGCGCGTCATCGGATTCGCCCGTTTTTGCTGAAGCTCGAGAATCGTGATGGCGTCGCTCTTAGCAGCCAGATGATCCACGAACTTGTCCTTCCATCCAGCGAAATGCGCCTTGTTCCCGTGGAACTGCAGCCTGCTCATGTTGGTCTCAGAAGTCTTGTCCATCTTACTTGAAATGTTAGAATGAACGCTGTAGAGTAGCTCTCAAAACAGTTTATTTACTTTTACTCTTAACTACCTATTCTCTAGACTTGTGCTCAGTCTGAGGCAGAAGAAGAAGTGAGCGCGTCCTCGGACGGCATCTCTCCCTTCTGCCTTCAAGTCCTCATCGCACTGGTTGGCAGACAGCCTCTGCCTGCTGGCGCACTCTATCCAAGTGCTCGTAGGATCTGTTTTACTCTAGTACTTACTATTGCTTTAATGAAAGTAAGTCTTTTATTGTGTTGACACACTTAATTCTGTCCAGCATCTGTCTGGCCTCTACCGACTCTTCGCCGCCTTCGGCGACTCGGCGTTTGATCGCCATGCTGGCCAATAAGTAACAGGAAGGCAAAAGTCTATGCTTGCTGGGGCCGCGTTTTCCTCGGCTCTTGTATTCGGGGCGTTCATCACCCGCGCCGAAGCCCATGGCTACCTCGAACAGCCCAAGCCGTCGTGGAAGGATGGTCCGAATGTTGGATGGATTACTATGGATGAATATCATCAATTCTCCGACCCTACTTAGTTTTAGTATTGGTATTAATCACCAATCATCCATTTTTTTTTATTAGACAGCCAATCGTACGGTCTTGACAAGATGATTTGGCCAATCCAAATGGTAAGGGTTAGGCTGAACCTCGTTGGAGTTGGCTCCGACATATCGGGTCGGAGGGGACTCAGGAAATATGGATATGCTCTTACAAATTTCAATATGTAGGCATATCACATGCATAAAGTCATTTCTCCGACTTCTCCGACCAGTGCAATCACTACCACACATTAGTTCAAAATCTTAGACTTATTAATAATATGCTACTATGTAGTAGTAAATTTTAGAAGAGGTGGGTAGCAGCGCCACAGGGAGCTTGCTCGTCATTAGGAACAACACATGCAACATCCCTGCGTGGAGATCCATTATTTTTATATTACGTAGAGCATAATGTAGCCAGAGTCAATTAAATGTACATGTATTGCCTTATTAATTCTTAAGCACTCCGGCCTGTGCACCGCCCTGCCGCACTGCCACCGCTCTGATGCCGCCCTGCCACCGCCACCGCTCTGCCGCCGCACTCCCACCGCACTGAGACCGCCCTGCCGGCGCCCTACCACCGCCCTGCCACCGCCCTGCCGCCGCCCTGCCACCGCCCTGCCACCGCTGCACTGCTACCGCTCTGCCCTCCTTTTTGTTTGTGAATACATTTTCAATGTGGCCCACAGTTAAAAAAGAAAACTTAATATATTCGTTTTAAGAGCTACTGACTTAGATGTGCCGCCATTTATGTACAGGTCGAGGTTGTCGGAGGTCGGAGATTTTATGTTATGGTAGACAACTACTGGGACATCGGATCCGGCGGTGATCAGGTCGGCAAGTTCAAGACGATGGCAAAGGAGAAGAGCATGTCTAGTGTTGGATATGGTCAAGGGACAGAAATGCGGAAACACCCTGGAAAACGGCGACGCGCAGCCCGTTCCATCCGACGCAACAGTCAAGTGGCTGGGCAATGGTGGTGGTGGCTTCACCCACACTGGGCCCTGTGAGATCTACCTTGACGACAAGATGGTTCTTCACGGCGATGACTGCGAGGACGAGTACAAGGGTGGCGCTGTTGGGTCTACCCAGACGTCGGATATGCCTGTCGACTTTTCATCGTGCAATGGCAAGTGTGACGCGCCTTGGCTAGCAGAGGGTCGCGACGAATCTTGGGTTTTGTGGTTGACTTGGTCTTCTTGAGGAAAAAGGAAAAGTGAGTTTATTTGTGGGTGAGCGGGAGGCGCTTCGTCTAGTTTAAATATTCGAACTACACCATTCAGATTTTCAAACCTGGCTGTGGTGGATCTTCTCGTCTTCTTATTCTTGCTAGGCGCCACAGGCTTCATCCACGTAGGCAGGCAGTTATGTCATACTCCCCCCATGAACCTGTTCGGTTAGCAAGGGAATATACGGCGGATGCTGACTTGTTGTGTCGTGGCTCCTTTGTCTATAGTGACCGTGCCATTGTCATGTACCTGCTTGATAGTGTACGGGCCTTGAGCAACAGCTCGTGTCTTCGCCCGAAACGCCTTGGGAACACGCAGCATTACGTGGTCTCCAGCGTGGTCTCCAGCACTGTAGAAGTGTGCGATTCGCTTGAAATTTTCGCGATCATTGTCTTGTAGAATCGCTTCAAATTTTCTCTTGGACATGTAGCTCCAGTTGGCTTGGTACAGCTGGCGAAAAATCATATCTTGTCCGAAGATCAGCTGTCCAGGTGAGGCATTGAGAATGCTATGGTAACTAGCACGCACAGCAAACGCTGCATAGTACAGAGACTTCTTCCAGTCCACTGTCTCGTAGCATCTGACGATATTCATCAGCTCCATGTGAACACGCTCGCAAATCGCGTTGGCTTGGGGGTTCTTGACGGTAATTGGCTTCGCTTCGATACCGTAACTCCTCAGCAATTCTTGGAACTCTTCGCCAGTGAACTCAGGTCCGGTATCATGGATCACCTGTCGAGGTCGAGGGTAGCGACAAAGCCATTCTCGGTCGAAGCTTTCGGCTGTTGTGCGGGACTCCTTGTCTGGTTGAACGCCGACTTCAAGCCATCGCGTGGCGTGATCGATCATCGTGATGCCGTATCCACCTCCCTCGTAAGGCCCAATTAAATCCACATGAACCAGATCCCAAGGGTTAACAGTCTTGAGTGATCTTGGGGGCAAAAGGCCATAGTCCTGCTTGCCACCGTGTACTTTTGCACGCTTGCAGACGATACATTTCTTGAGCTGCGCTGTAATGAACGTTTCCATGCCGGCCAGTATAGAACTTGGCGCATGGTCTTGAACTGCCGTTCAGACCCCGGATGTGCTAGGTTCTGGTGGTACCAGTCGACGAGATCTTCTCGAAGCGACTCGGGGATAATTACTCGGCCGTGATACGCCACCAGGGTACATCCTAGAAGTGACCTAAGCTTATAGTCCGGGTTGTTGTCACCTGCGAGGCACGCAGTCTTGATCTTCTGGATCATTTCGTCTTTGACTTGTTGTTCACGGATGACAGGTCCGTGCATCACACACGCGGGTTCCTCTTCAACTGCGTAGACGTCTTCCTCTATTGACGGCTGTTGCTGGGACTCAAACCGCATTCGAGAGAAAGCGTCCGCTCCGATGTTCTTCGCGCCTTTGATATAATGCAGCGTGAGACGATACTCGGAGAGCAGAAGTTTCCAACGTTTCACTCGCAGGTTGTTCTCAGTCGGGTAAATGAGGTTCTTGTGGTCAGTGTGTACGACCACTTCGAACCCCAGCAGCATGGTACGGTACTCGCGGAGTAGAGACACAATCGAGAGAAGCTCTAGCTCCGTTGTCGTGTAGTTGACTTGATACTTGTCCAGAGCACGAGAATAGCAAGCCAAAATCGAGTTCTGCTGCATGATAATACCTCCAAGCTGTTTCCCACTGGCGTCGGCATACACGTGAAAAGGGCGGCTGAAATCTAGAAATGCGAGGAGAACAGCTTCAGCAAAGGCCTTCTGGATCGCGTTGAACGGGTCCGTGTCGCTTTGTAGCCATGTGAATGGAGTTTTGTTGCTCGTGAGCCGGTTGAGCGGAGCACATAGAGCAGCCTTATTAGGCACCATGTCCCTGTAGTAGTGGATCATTCCGAGGAATCTACGAAGTTCCTTTCTGTTCTTGAGAACTGCAATCTGCTGAATTGCTTGAATCGTTTGGCCTGCGGTTGAATACCTTTAGCCGTCAGCGTAATGCCAAGGTAGTTAACGGAGTCGCGCAAGTTGTGGCACTTCTTGCCGTTAAGTGTGATGTGGAATTGGTCCAGACGATCGAACACCACACGTAGGTGTTCCAGGTGCTCATCTTCAGTGCTGGAGAATACGAGGATGTCGTCGAGGTACACGACAACAAACGGCAGGTCTCCAAAGATCTTCTCCATGCACGACTGATACTCATCAGGAGCAGTAGCGATGCCCATGGGTAGTCTCTTGTATTGAAACTTGCCCCAGGGGAGACAAAAAAGCGGTATACGGGCGACTCTGTCGGGCGAGCCGGCGCGCGTAGTAGCCCATGTTGGCGTCGAACGACGAGAGGAATTTAGCTCCAGCGAGCCGCAGCAGGATCTCGCGGATTTTAGGCACGTAATACGGGCTTCTACGTAGGTACTTGTTGAGAACTCTGTAATCAATCAGCAGACGTAACGTCCCGTTTTCCTTGATCAGGAAAAATGCTGGTGAAGCCATTTCCGAGCCGTAGATCTGTTCGAGAACATCTTGATTCACGAGTCGTTGAATCTCAGCCTTCGCCTTGTCTTCTATGCTACGCGGAATCGCGTACGGTTTTGCATGTACTGGTTTGAAGTCAGGTGATAGAGGTAGCACATAGTCGTTGAAGCGCATTCGTCCGAGGTGTCCGTCGTACAGATGTGCGTAGCCTTGCAGCAGTTTCAGGTAGCGAGCTGCTACTTCTCCTTACAGGGTGTCGGGCATCAGGTCTGTTGGGCTGACGGCCGTGTCCACAGTCTCCTTGCATTCGTCAGGAAACTCGTTGTCCGTCGTCACTGTCGACGCCGGTGCTTCACTGGGAGGGCCCGTATTAAGCGTGGTAGCGTAGCCGTCCCATTGGACAATTTTATCCTTGAAATTGAGCACTAAGCCCAGTGCTTCCATGAGATCTCGTCCAATGACCATTGGGTCAGAGCTGTGACCGAGGATCTCGAATCGGTGGGTAATCTTGGTCGTCGGGTTTAGGTGCGGAAACTTAAACTGCAGCACAGCGGTACCATCGCTCTTGACTTGGCCGCCCACCATTTGGAACGTTGTCTTGGACTCGACTTGTCTGCGGCCATGTGACGACAAGACTTTCATCGTGTCGGCGTTGATCACACTTTTGGAGGCTCCGCTGTCGAGTAGCGCATGAATCTTCTTGCTCTCCTTGCGCAGTTGTACCTCGATGCGTAGAGGCGCTTTGGGGGCGACGGGCTTTGGATCCACCAGTCCGATGAACTTGTACTTGTCCTCGTCGCTAGACTCGCTGTCACTGTGGCGGTCTTTGTACAGTCTTGGGTACTTCTTCGGCTTTGCCTTCTTCTTTGCATCAGCGCGTTTATGCTCATCCTGTTGTTGTTTCTTGAGCGCAAAACAGTCAGCGGTGTTGTGTGACGAGGTCTGATGGTGAGTACACAACTTGTTCGGGTTCTTGGTTGCCGAGGCCGAAGACGCGTGGTTGCTCTTGTCCTTGTTACCTTTGTGACGATCCGACTTCTCGGGCTTGTTGAAACGCGAAGGGCGCAATAATTTGCTGGAACTATTGCTTTCTTTCTCCTTGCAACCAGCCTTTTCTCGCATCTCTATGCGCTCAAAATACTGGATCAGCTCACTCATTCGTTCGTGAGCGACGCCAGATGCTGCGAGCTTGTCTTGCCATGCGTGCGGCATAGCTCCCTTGAAGAACCGGCACTGCTGAACCTCACGGATGACTTCCGCGTTAGTCGGCAGCTCCGCAAACATGCGTACCAGCTCCTTGAGCCGTCTGTAGAGCTGCTGGACGCTCTCGTTAGAGCGCTTCACCAGGCTCCATAGTTCTTCGTCGAGCGTCTCGCTGTAGTTGGCCGGGACTAACAGCCTTCCAATGCTCTCGTAGAACTCGGTGAAGGATAAGCCGTTCTGGACCGTCTGTCTGGCGTTGTCCTCGACGTCGCACTTCAACTCGCCGTCCAGGAGAAGAAGAAGTTGCATCGCGGCTTGCTCGACTGTCCAACCTTTCCGTTGAGCGAGGCTCTTGAAGCGCATGCTCCATCGCAGCCAGTCCTTAGCGTTGCCCCCGTAGAACTTGGGGATGTGGATCTTGGCCGTGTCGGCTGGAGCGTGCTCGGTTGCGGGGCTTGTGATGATCGTGTAGGTGACGTAGTCGTCCTCGTCGTGTTGCTTTCGCCCCATGTCTGAAGGTCCTTGATTCGCCTTGCAGATTTGATACATCAAAATGACGCGCCTTGGCTAGCAGAGGGTCGCGACGAATCTTGGGTTTTGTGGTTGACTTGGTCTTCATTAGGAAAAAAGGAAAAGTGAGTTTATTTGTGGGTGAGCGGGAGGCGCTTCGTCTAGTTTAAATATTCGAGCTACAGCATTCAGATTTTCAAACCTGGCTGTGGTGGATCTTCTCGTCTTCTTATTCTTGCTAGGCGCCACAGGCTTCATCCACGTAGGCAGGCAGTTATGACAAGTGCATTCTGGCGATCTACTAGCTGGCGTTCCAGAACGCACAGTGGCAAGCATACGGTGCGTAACCTCAGACTCGAGCGTCGGTGAGCTGATACTCACATGTTCTTGTCTTGTATATTTGTATATTGTAGTTAGCTGCGTGCCGCTAAAAGGAAGTGGGGGAGGTGGATCAACGCCAACGACTGATGGAGCGTCGAAGGAAGCGGGAGATTCGGAAAATAAGGAGAAGCAAGGCGAGTCATCGGGATCTCCTGAGACTGAGCAGCAGACGGAGCAGGCTTCATCAACGGAGAGTGAAGCCTCATCAACGGGAAAGCAGGAAAATCCCGCAAAGCAAACTCCGACAGCTACTACGCAGACCACCCAGGTGCCCTCAACTCCACCGGCTGAAGATACGAAGTGCAACGCACCTGCCCGTCGCCTTCGGAAGAAACTCGCGAAAGCGTGAGAATCCACAGTTGGTGTATGTTTTAGCTTTATGCCCTGATGCTAGGCGTATGTCGTGTTCATGGTTTTCATCCATTCACGCCCCAAGAAACTGAATGTCATTGCAGAATAGCTCGTCATTTTCGTTCTGAAGCTCCACTGATGTCGTGACAGCAAGGATAGAATCTAAGCTACTGCCCCCTCCTACAATTGATGGTGTTTTGAGGACGTGAAAATGTTACTTTGGATTCAGTTTCAACACACCGAGAAATTCAAATGTTTTGTGTGTACGGCAGTAGAATACTTTTTTTAAAAGTACAATACCAAGCATTTCTTACTTTGAAGTACTATTAATAGGGCAAAGACAGATAGGCACCAGGTAGTCAATGAAGGCTCACATCGCTTGTGGAAATATGTACTAGCTAAGAAACCTAGTGTCCATTACCACTCACAAATTTCAGGAAAAACTTCTACGGGCATGTTATTAACCAGCAGATGTCATTTTTGGGGGGGGCATCAAAACGAATGAAACTTCTTGATTTTCGCTTCGATGAACGCAATAATTTTAAAATATAGTTTCGTGTAATTACATAATCTTAAACATCTACTGCAGCAACCTGTCTGTCCGTCACACTAAATTGTCGTGCCTGTCACGCTTTTCCGGACAAATCATTGGATAAAATAATTTAAATATTTCTACTGGCTGCCGAGCGCAGCGAAGGTGGCTTCAATTGGTTAAAACTAGAATGTGTAATTGACATCAATAAATGCATGTGTTTCCCAGTTTACATATGGGGATTTGCACAAAGCTAATACATTATCCGAAGGCGGCATCGTTTTAATATTTTATACTTTTTCATAATGCATTGATATTTGAGTACTAAACGGAGGGCAGGGTGCTTAGCGTACACGTAAGCATGCGTGTTTCCGAGGACATGGTTTAAGTATACTAAATACTCTGTACTCAGTAGGATCTGCGAGTTACACTGACTAAAATGATAATTTCAATTTTTTTATTGTAAAGATATTAGCATTATTAATAATAAGTTATTTCTGGTATTGCTAAATCGTACATGTTACATGTACAGCAGTAGCCGGTCGTGTGGGCTTGCCGTAAGAACAAAGCTGTGCTTATAAACGTTGTCACTAGATCCACAAAGATAGATGGTTTAGATTGACGTGGAAAAGAAGTAATATGTGCTGATGACAATTACTACTGTATTGTTTCCTAAGCGTTTATTTAGACAACAAAATTCTGATACTTCTTAATAGGCAGACGCGTTGCCGACAAGGCGTAGAATAAGGTTTTACATGCAGCGGTAAGATAACAACACAACATGAGAGGTGTAAATTATGGTTATTATAAGTAGGCCCGTAAAGAAACGTTAATCAACTTAGAGCCTAATCTACGTTTAACCATCCTGGAATCATCGTTTAAGTATCAAATAAAAATACCGCCGTCAACAAAAGGCGTCGTGCGACGCATCGTTATATCCAAAGGCTACAGTATAACCATAACAGGCACAAATTGGAGTGTCTAATGACTAATTCTGAATCAGCACAAAATGAACACACTTCAATGCATAAGAAAATGCTACAGCCTGAATATTTTTATTAAATATTCAAACTGTTACACTTTTAATTTTCTTTCAAAGTAGCGAGTTTGGTATGCGAAGTGGTTAATAGTCAGTTTATTACAAGCTTAACCAGGCAGTACAAGCGGGTATTTGATGCAAGCTGGACAGATATTCTTTGCATTGTTGCAATCTAGGTCTCAGAAACGGCCCGTGAAATTGATCACGACGCTAAACTAAATATATTATTTAGCGTTTTTAGACTGAAGTGCAGGTGCTTCTGGGTGGAAGATTAAGGTACAGTGATCGCCAACAACAACAAAGAGACTTTGCCAAGATCACTAGCGTAATCGTTTATGAGCATGGTAAGTATGATGCTAGGGTCTCAGTCTTTTGTACCGGTAGAAATATTTACACGGCTTACTGGGAGCTCAGCAATTTGTAGCAAAAGAAACGCAGATTTATGAAATTAAAGAAGTCGATTTAGGCACATGGGGGACTCAGAGGATTTGGACTAATTATCCCGCCAAAGCGAAGCGAAGGCGGGAAGGCAAAAATCTGGAGTAAAACCGAAATTACCGCCGCGTAGCGGCGGCGCTTGGCTAGTTATTATAATAGAACTTCGCTTATGGTATACTTAAGTACATGTACTAGAAAGTTGCTATCTTCGACTTGTTATAATAAACATGAAAGCGCAGTAGATTTATTATTAAGATTAAAATAAATACTTGTACGTGCAATTTTTACCAGTGTAGCATTCTTTTGGGGTCTTTTCAGCCAATACCGGCATGTCCTTACCGGTACTACACCGCATGGAGGACAAAGTAAAAAAAAACTCTGGTAGTGAAAGGGTTTAGTACTTATCTAGTCATTTGTTGTTTTGCACGCACCCGTCACCACCACACCACCACATACCACACCTAGGGACCGCCTCTATACAATACAAGGCAACAACGCCCAAGGCAATTTCGGCTTTGCACCCATGAAGTAACGTAAGGCTACATGGCCCTTGGGAGATCCAGGAAATAGTAAAAATCGCTATAGGCTTGTAGCTGAGCAAACGGTCGAATGAGGTACGCGGTCTTGAATGTAGTGACTCCTTGAGTGAATATCTTAATTATTAAAAGGCATCTTAGAATGATTTCGCGGTGTCCGATACACACGGTTTCGCAGTACAGCAACCACTCCTGAATTAAATAAACGCTAACAGCGTAGACGACAACACCAAGATATCGCTTCAATAATAGTGTAATTGCCCATGGACAAAGTCTCGGACTGATGCCTTCCCTACGATTCCTTCGAAGTAGCTGCAGCGCATGTGTAGTGACATAAAAAATGAGTGATCCTAACCAACTTTGCATCGCTATTCAAGAAACGCTTGGCGAAAGGTTTCAGTGAAAGATACTGTTTCGAAATATTCTTAAGCAGTAATTTACCCGTCTGTCCTCAAGAATGATACTGTATCTTATCTGTTTTATAACTCAATCAACTTAGTCGGGGTATAGTAAAATAAAGACGGTAGGTACATTATTCAAGTCAAAGCTGAGTTCACTTTTCTTTTTCGCTTCAATGGATTCGACTCAAGCCGGGCGCTATCCGCGCAGCCCCACCAGTTCATGTTCGCGTCCATGTTGCAGTGGGCTCTAGAGGTTGGGCTGCTGGTCCAGACACAAACGTCGAAGCCCCGCGGCATCTTTCGAAGCCAAAGCAGCTCATCCAAGAAAAAGCTGAAGAAAGACCGGAAAAACGGCTCCCGGTCGGACCGACGCCTCTTGCAGACTGAGCACACAGACACATGCCAAGTGTCGCCGGATATGGCAGGCGCGCTCTTCCATCAAGTCGTGGAGAGCTGTCGAGAGTACATGGCTACATTGCTACAAGACGCACAAGTTCGTCTTCCACCTAGCCAGTATGAGACGAATGTACTTGGACTTGGTAGCAATAGGAACGAAACTGGACCGTGCAGTTAACTGTGCTGGTCTAACTGATAAGGTTAGCGCTTTAAAGAAGCCTGGCTGGACGTGGAGATAGCAACTCGACGCTAATAGGGAGAAAGAGGAGGCCGAACTGAGCGCCAGGGCCGCCAAGAACGCGCTGCCGTTTGCACGAAACATGTTGCCACACGAGCCCATGGAGGCCTTGACGCTGCTTAAGTTCGAAATTGACTTTTTCAAGCCTGGCAATACCGTCAACCATGTGGCCAGTATGAAGAAGGTTTTCTTCTCCGTTGTACGCTCGTCGAACGGACGTGTAGCCAAGATCCCGGACTGGTATATCCCTCCGTATGCGATGAGTTATTCACGGGACAAGGTGATGCAAGGGTCCGTGGGGACAGCTCATCGCGGTGTCTGGGTCGACAGGAAGCCCGAAGACGGCAAGAAACCCGAGAGAGACGAAGGAGAGCGACCGCCAAAGACTTTCCGAGTCGTGGTCAAGCGCCTGACTATCCACGCGGACGCTATTGAGGCTTTCCGACAAGAAGTGGAGAGCTGGGTCGCCATGGACCATCCGAATGTACTGAAATCGTATGCACTGCAGTCGCCCCGCTCTTGTGGTGTGTCAAGACGCCTCCAATGAGTCTCTCGTGAAGTATCTGAGTCGCCAGCGACAAGTGCAGGCGGACAAGAGACGTAGAAGAGACAGTGATCAACTAGAGCAGCCGTGGCCCTACCGCAACCAACGCCACGCACTGTGGAGTTTGTTCCTCCAAGCTGCGAGTGGCTTGAAGTATCTGCACGAAGACAAGAAGCTGGTGCATGGCAACTTGAAGAGCGCCAACATCCTCGTTGCTGCCGATGGCCAAGTGAAGCTGACGGACTTTGGCCTGGGCATTCTGGCGCTGCAGAACCAAGCGATACAGAGCGAAAGATTCCACGAACTTGGCTGGAGAGCGCCAAACTGCTGGAAGGACAAGAAGCTACTGCGTCGCCCTGGTTTCCAAGACGATATCTATTCCCTTGGCCTGTGTGTGCTGGATGTGCTGGTGGCGTCGCGGTCGTCGATTGCAAAGGGAGAGATAAAGTGTGTGGGCGATGAAGAGTTTGACCCGTTGGACAAGAGCGTGTCGGAGCTCATTCATGACGAGAGGCACAGGAAACTCGTCGAGGACATGTGTCAGCCCAAGCCGGGGGATCGACTGCAGCTGACGGACGTCATCAAGCGCATGGAAGAAATGCGGGAGGCAGCTGCGAGAGAGCCGATGGACTCGAGCGATTGCTGCATGCTTTGAATAGTGCACAACGTCTCGACTTTTTTATTATTGTTGCCAGGATTTGGATTAGCTATGAGTGAGCTAGGTATTTAGTGGTTTATACTGAGATGGCTTTGGTCGTTATTCAAAGCGTGAATAAACGATTGTAGCAAGCTCGACGGTGCAGGATGGCCGTGTGTCTCAGTGCAAATAGTGGACCTGAAGCATGCGGTGTTCATCCAACTGGGTGGCGGTGATTGCAAAGGTGCATCATGGAGATTCACCCATCGATTTGGTGGCCTCAGGTCTTTCAGAAGGAATCATCGACTCCAACCTGTACAACGTAATACTAGTAACACTAGTAGGCTGGTGTAATGAGGTAACTAAACTTACCGTTTAAGTTCTTCCTGAAGCTACGTCATTAACACCGGGTCTGCCTAAGGAAAGATATGACGGAGCTACATGGGAATAATGAAGTGGTAGTCGGTACAGCAAAGACTTCCGACCGCATGCTCAGCAGTCTTCTTTTTATGTCTACATGGGCGACGAACGTCTCTGACAGCGCACACTGACGAGAGTACCATTTTGGTGTCTAGAATACACAGCATAAATCTACAGAGCATTCCTCAAGCTATAGACTACTGCCCAGGGCTCCCGGAAGTGAAATTAATCGCATTTCAGATTCCGAAGTTCCCGCACATTATGCATTAAATTCTCAGAGTTCAGAATGGCCATTGTGAATTCTGATTCATATGACTCATATGAATCAGAATTTAACTGAAAATATCCACAATTGGAACATTTAACATTTTGTGTATTCCTTCACGAAATGTAATGTCCTTGTTCGGCAGACCAAATTTTCGCTGACTCGGAGGTGTATGCAAACCGGTGCAACCGACGCAAACTCAGCTTGCAATTGGCACACATCAAACTATAATACAAACTCTTGCTGTCTTAGCCATGTCTGACGCTTCTCTGACGCCTTCCCAACGCTCGAGGAGCATGTTTTCCCCAAAGCCATTAATCTAGTAACACGATCACGTTTTGATGCAGATATTTATATGCCACAGTCGCAGCACAAGTTATTTATTTGCAGATTTCCGATCTACCATGCAGGTATTTATTCTCATTAAATGAAGAAATCCATACACATTTTATTTTGAGAAAACACCGTAAAACAAACTGATGCTAGTTAACCAATGGACGCCTTCCAAAACCATCGTAAACAGCTGCCTTATCTGCAGCAGATATGCCACGACATATCGCCGACTTAAATCTCACCACACCTAATTTACGTCTCATCAGACTCACCTACCCCTGGAGTTATGCCGTGTACCTATCTTAACAGTTAATGTTGACATTTGTATAGTTTAAACTGACCATCACTCTGACGTGGGATGCCATCACTCTTCTGTCATATATCTTTGCATAAAGCATTTCGCGCCGCCAAACGCTGAAACGCTTCATTCTTCAATTTAGTCCCGAAGTGCACAAGTGACTCTCAAGGAAGTACGAACTCTACTGTGTTATTGTTAATGTTTAACTAACGCGCTCTAATCTAATTAATGGATTGGCTATAGCGATGGCCCACAGCACTCACTCTGCGCTGTTTTGGCTACAAAGGTGTATCAGCGACTCCAGTAGCGGCGACGAGAACGTCTCTCCCAATGTGTGTCCTGACCCGCGACGCAGTGGCACAGCTAAAGGCATTGATGCCGCAAGTGACACGGAGACGGAAGACTTCAGGGGCTCCACAGGAACTCTCACGCCGCCGTACTCATCTGCGCACCGAGCCACCACACCCGCTAAATGGTGACCAGTCATGGCGCCTATCAACCCCTTCAGCTCGTACCATTGCGAGCCCGACGACATCTTCGCCGGTGCTGCTCAACACGCCACCACGACGTACACCACCGTCGAAGACACAATCGCGCTCCAGTGACGCCAGAAATGTACTTCAAGACCGCAAAGAGTCGCGGCACAGCCGCCGCGCGAAGGCTGCTCCGTACAGCCGCCCTAACGCACTTCCTGTCCAGCAGTCGAACCGAACAGTCGTCAACTCGCGCGGTCTTATGCGGACCAGCCCCGAGCCGACGTTGAGCTCCCGATCCCGCGTTTCCCAGTCCCATGACAAGTTTGTCCCGGCCCAGTGGCCACGCCGTGTGGCACACTTGCGCGAGCAGTTCAACCCACTCGGCATTGTTTTCCCTGACGTGCCGCTCTATGGGTGGTGTGATTGGTTCTCGCCTTGTCGGGCTGGTGTGGGCCGCAACTCTTTGATGCATGTGTACTGCAACATTAACAGCTGCCCCGTACGTGGGTCAGTGCGGAAACGGACTGATGGAATCCAGCAAACTGTTTTTGGGGCGAAATGCGCGGACCCGCTCACTGGGAGTTGTCGCCGGAGAGAATATCGAGGCTGATGAGGTACTTGGAGAGTACCTGGGCGAGCTGGAGCACGTGAGCATGGACCCTTCGAAGCGTCCTCGCAACACGGGGTATCGTCTCGTCATGCAGCATTGGCCAGAGCGACCCACGCAGCCCATTCGAGTTGCTATCAATGCTGAGCGCTTTGGAGGGCTGATGCGGTTCGTAAACCACTCGTGTCGCCCGTGTGCTCGTTTTGTGGAGGTATCTAATCGACGACGAACCACGGTGGTAGTCGTTACGACAGAGACAGTGCGCAAGGGCGAGGAAATCTGTGTGGACTAAGGGAGCGACCAATGCCGCTGTGGACTTGATGATTGTTGCCACCGTGACATACAAGACCAGCGCGACCCATAGGCGATTTAGACGTGTGGTGGCTACGAAGACGGCGTCATCTAGCCTCACAATGTATTCGTGTAGGTAAGGATTGGTGGTCTTACATGTATATCTTCATTAACATTCAATGTGAATTCTGACGCCCATCTTCTTGTTCTTCTATTGGCGTTGATTGCGCAGCACGTTCTAATCGGTGGAAGAAGCCCACGCCCTTTCGTTTCGCGCCATCCTTCGCAAGTCACGGCGAGTTCACTGCACAACCTGAACAAGATTTTCGCGCGCAGATTTCGCGCGTTGAAGCTACGCGCCATGAGCTCTCAACCATCCACGCTTTTCGCGCGCAGTCCCAGTGCCGTGGGTTATCATCTCTCAGTATAGGACGCTGTGGTTGTGCGGCAGCTCCTGGAAGTCTCTCACTTCTGCGTTTGCCTTGTCAAACGCAAGCCACGCTTCGCTCTGCACCGCCTCCACAGCATCGCCTCACCCCACACCCCAGTATCCTGTCAAGGTACGCACGCTTCACACTACAGTACTAACATCTTGAAGTTCTCAAACACTGTGTTGCATCTTACTACGTAGATGGTTAAGAGTGCTGGAAGCACTAACTACAAGTTGGCCGAGATTGAGCGCCTTCTAGAATTAGCCGAAGACCATTTACCCTTGTGAAAAGATGCGTGGGAACGACTGGGAGGTGCCTACAACTCCAGCAGAGCTCGTGGGTGGGCGGAACGTGAGTTTGAGAGTCTACGCCGAAAGTTCAAGGTGCTCTACAGCACTCGCAAACATACTGGCAAGGCAACCATGCCACCGCACATTTCGAAGGCCACGAACCTGAAGAGGGCGGTCGGCGAGAAGGCAAACTTCGTTGAGATGGACGACGAGGGCGACGAAGACCAAGGCTACGACAACCTAGACGCCGACGCAGCTGGGGATGGAAACAACTATCAACCGGACTTTTGTTTTGACGTCGACCCCGACGAAAGCTGCTGCAGTGGCCGTGATGATGATGGTGGTAGCAGTGGCGTCTCCTCAATCCCCAACACTGCTGCAAGTTGTCGTCGTGGCACCATGTCTCGTACTGATGGCGACGGTGAAGGGGTCGCTACCGCTGTGAGCGGATCCGAAGGCGGTTTCCAAGAGCTTCTCGCGATGGCAATTTGCGGAGATGGTGTAGAGCAACTATCGCCTTCAACTGGACCTGGGACGCCGCGCCCACAACCGACAACCCGGTCAACTCGCTCTGCTGGGCGAAGTAAACCAAGCAAGACAGCAACGCCGCTGTCAGGCACTCCGTCAGATCCTCCCACGAGTTGTTCTGCGGCGAAGATGCAAAAGGCCGCGAAGAAGCCCGCGGCTCGTAGTTTCAAGCCAGGCACCCGTGACGAACAGGAGGCGATGCGCTATGACACGTTGCTTGATTACTCCAATCGTCTAGGTGGGTCAGAGTTGTACGCGCTCCGAGACCATGTCGGATCCAAACGCACGCGCGATGATGCCGATGCCGAGATGGTGGAGGCAAGCTTTGCCAAGGTTAAACGTGCACGAGCCGTGAAAGCCACTGCTGCTCTCAAAAAAAAACTCAGTGACACGCAAGGCGCTACTGCTTCCATGGCGTCCAGTATGTTTGAGATGATGTTACTTCTACGTGAAGAGAATGAACGCAAGGTAGAAGCTCGTCGCGATGACGAAGACCGCCGCCGTCGTGAGGAAAACGTTGCCAGAGAAGCTCGATTTGCCGCAGAGAAGGCTGAAGCGGAAGAACGCCGCCGCCAAGACAGGTTGGAGATGGATGAGCGCGCCCGCCGCGACAAGGAAGACGCGCGAGCTCGTACTCAGGAGCTGGTACTTCTGATTGGAGCTCTGATTAAGAAGGGGTAAGTGGATCGTATGGTAGGCGACGAGTACGCTCGGTCACGATGACTGTTGATGCTCTAGCGCTGAAGGCCTATAGAGCTGAAGAACACAATGACCACTTTCATTAGTAGCGTAGCTCGATCAAGCAGCTCTTGTTAATTTCAAATACAACAGCGATGGATGTGTTACATGAACGTCTTCATCTTTCGTTACAGCAAAGTGCCATGCACTTAACTACTCAAGTGTTACAATTCAACAAAACTAAATCGCAGACATGCTACTACAAAGTTGACATCTCTTCCATCTCGCCGGTAAATGTGGTGTAAATCTGCGAGATCCCAACCGTGCGGACGCGATAGTTACACAAACGAAATATGTTGTTGATGCGTAGCCCTCGGAGCTCAGGGTCGTAGGGGAGAGGG